CCTAAACAAATTCTTCAATTGATGGTTGGGCAAGCTGCGTACCAAACTCAAATGGCAAATGTCTGGATGAGGCGCCAAAAACTGAGTGGTGGGAGGATCGTTGAAGCGGCGAAAACTCAGCAGAGTCGGGACTGGGAGAAAGAGAAGGGAGAGGCGGAGGTGGTGAAGAAAGGAGGCTAAATGGAGATGGGAAGGAATGAGAGGGAATGGAAACGAGAAGGAAGGTGAAAGGGATTATAAATGGTATTGGGTTAGGGTTGAAAATGGTGAAAACTTATTTTGATGTGATATTTTTTAAGTTTTTTGTACAATTTTTGAAAAGAGGTTGTAAATAGTATTGGGTTAGGATTGAAAATGGTGAAAACTTATTTTGACGTGACATTTTTTCAGTTTTTTGCACAATTTTTCATATAGTCAAATCTCATGATATGTAGGGTATTTAAATTATCTAGAGGGGCAAAAGGTCCAAAATTGACAATTTTGCAAAGACTTTTAAAAAGTAAGATTTTTGTAAATGCAAAATCAAAAATTGACAATTAGTGCAATTTCCTCCTAATAAAATAAAAAAATCATGAAGTGCGTGGGAAAGAGACGGTATGTTCCCATTGGTCTAAGGGATTCACGTGCAAGCATGTGGAAATCATAAAGTGGAGTCGTCGGTACGATTTATAAAGTACGATACAAATCGGATCCGATTCGATCCGACCCGCGAAGTCACACGTTCAACCTTTAAGTTTCTTTTTGAAGTATTTTTCAAATTTTGTTTAGACAAAATGATTGTTGGTGGGCACATCATGACGCCTGTGTGCACGGAAGTCAATAACGTATCCAATTAAATACAAACTACCACATTTTAATTAATTAATACTTTAATTGCTGATCAATAATTGCTGATCAATAATCCTCACAGTTTACCGTATGATCTAATAATTTAAAGCAACTGGACAGGAGAAATGCTGTTGGGAATCTGTAACAAGTTCTTGTTTTGCAAAATGTCAAATATCAAGTTATCATCTCGTTCCATTTAACGTCAAGAATGATTAAATTAAATCAATGATAGAACACATGTTATCATCTCGTTCCATTTTTCGGTACAAAAATACCGAAAAATTAGTAATACTTTGTCAAAATTTAATTTCGCTATATAGTTAATGAGAAGAAAAATGCTGCAAGTACAGGGAATAACTCATAGATTTTTAACAGGAATTTGAATGGTAGCGTCATGTCCGTCTGCGTGTTGTTTTCATTCTTCCCATTTTGAATATGTTCTCTCCATTTCAAATTCCTGTACCAATTCTATATAATTTTCATGTACTCATACCAAGATTGTAATGAGAAAGGCTCAACCAATTTCTTACGAAGATAATATTATTAATAATTCATTAAATAAAAATAAAAGTAAAAACTTGTGAGTAAAGTGTTAGAATGATACACGTAAAATGTCAAACAGGGATCTGATCCCATTTTCCACCTCTTGTTTAAAGGAAAACTATGTTTGAATTTCAATGGACGTGATTTTCTGACATTATTATTTGATTGGAAAATCAAAGATAAGTTGCGTAGGGCTACAAGTCTATCTCCTTACGTGTAAAAAAATTATGGCCGTAGTTGTTGACTACATTGATCAGAATATACCCATCAATCCTTCTACTCGTCTTTGATCTTACATCAAGTCTAAAATTGTCCACTCTTTTGTCGTTTTCCTATTGGATAAAGAAAAAAGGTTAAACATATGGTCCGGTCTGTCGCTATGCTTTTAATAAAAAATTATAAATATTAAAAAAATATATTAGTAAAATCTCTATCTTTGATATTTTGTACATAGATTGAGTGATCAACTTAAAATAAATATATAAATGCGGTGATTGATTTAAAACAAAATAAAGTTTAACTACGAAATTGCTAATGTTTCTAATTCAAAAAGAAAAGAACAAAAATTTAGGTGCCGTTCTCTTTGGTGTTT